GTTGGCCAGTCTGGATGTTCTGGCCTGTATAGACCTGTACCTTCTCCCTGAGGGCAGCAGATGGAAAAGGTGGCGCGCAGGGTGATGTTGGTCCCGCAGGATACTGTGCACCCTCCTCAGACAGCGAGTGGGGAAGATATTACTGATCTCTGGCAGACTTGTTATACTTTGTTATTGCTACAGAAGAATATTTATTTTATTATTTTACATTTACAATTTTTTTTCCTGGGGACCCTGTGACACCCCATTGAAGAGCCGTAGGCTGGAACTCTTAAGATCTTACTGTTGGGTTTGTAAGGTCATGTTACTCCTAAATTTCTATCTTGTTCAAAGAGAAGATATAAAACTAAGTTCTAAGCTAATCGACCTTAGTGTTCTCCTTTTAAAAAAGAATCGATAAAGAATCGAAAATGGAATCGGAATCGTGAAAATCTTATCAACACCCATCCCTATTCAGCAGTATAAAAAAGTATTTGTAACATTGCCACATCACCCTGGGATGAAACTGATTATCATGTTTAATGTCTTTATCAAGTCCATCTAGCTCAAGTGTTGCAGTAATTTAACAGAACTGATACTTTCATCTGGAATTAGAAAATGTATTTACTTATCTTCACTGACCTTCGGATCTAACTGTACATACTGTGTAATTGTTAATATAGAAATATGGGGAGCGATGGATGAGTAATATAGAGTATTTATCAGATGTTTAGTTAAGTATTATAGGAGTAGGCTGGTTGGTGGTTGGAGAGTAAGTGGCCCACAGACTGGGCCACTTACTCTCTAAATGGGAAGCTGGTGCTTTACTTTCCCACATGAGCTGGTTGGACACCTTTGTGTTTCAACTGTCAGTAAAAACATTACAAAACAAGAGGCATTACCAATGTTACTGATATGAAAACCACAGATTAAAAGAAAACTTTGGTACTAAAAAGTTAACTTTGGGAATGTAGTGGTCAAACTCTGAAGCAAGGTCAAACATTCTGCAATATCTGCCAAGAAACTTCAATAATTGACAGCTCAAGGCCCAGACTGTTCTTTATTCCGCAGACATTCACAGATCTAATTAGCAAAAACTGCCTGCCCTTTTCCTTGTGATTAGCTGCACTTTATCCTCAACAGTCTGGCAGTGTTTGACTGCTGCTTGGCAAGATACAGACAGTGCAGAAAATATCACCTCTTGCCCCCAAAAAGAAAAAAAGAGAGAATTAGAACTAGTGAGGATACATGTGGAAGTGTGAAGACTTTGTCACTGCAGAGGAGCAAAAAAGAAACAGAGAGCCTGTCGCCCCTTTTGCTCGACAAGCTAGTGAGTAGAATGAAAATGTGTTCTAATTATCTGTTTAACTGCAAGGGCCAAAGCATAAAAAGGTTTTTGAATTTGAATACTTTTTCTTGCTCTTTCACAGCAACACAAAGCAGCAAAAGCCAGACGACAAGCTGATCAACATCAGTGTAGAAAGTGATGATGAAAACCCACAAAAATCTCATTTTCAACAACAAATGTAAAGACAACAAAGAAGACAGAACTGGGTTTTAGGATTGCAATAAAAAAGAGGGGCGTCTGAGGATCACCACAAAAAGAATTAGTACTGTGAAGGAAATGTTGAGTTTGCAATAACAGGAAAACTGCATTAACTCATAAGCAGAAGTACATTGAGATGAAAAGTGTATGCATTAGGGAAAACTCACCCTGCTTAGCCCCATGTGGTAGTTACTCTTCTCCAGCTCCAAAGACTCCAGTAACTCCTCCACTGCCTGGAGACGAGCAGAACGAACACTCATTAGATAAACAACCCAATCGCTCTGTGTCCGGGCCTTACCTATGTCTGGTCATGTGACCTGGCTCCTAAAAATGATGCAAGTTACGTGCCATAGCAACAAACACCAATCCACTCTGGAATCAGCTAACACAAGCACACACATACCTCGATGTCCCTAAAAGGAAACAGACTACAAGGTTTGAAAAGTGATGCTACACACTACATTTGGTAAACGTGTCATTAAATGTACAGTGGGGGAAATAATTGTTTGATCCCCTGCTGAATTGAAAAGTTTGCTTATAAAGAAATGATCAGTTTCTAACTTTTATGGTGGTTTTTATTTTAGGGGAAAAACACAGAACAGCAACCTAAAATCCAGACAAAAGGAATTACAGTTAAGTTACAAACTGATTGCACCACTCCACTTCACATGAACTCGCTAAATCGTTTAGGTTTCTTGGCTGCCACTCAGCAACTTAAAGCCTGCTTCAGCTCCATCCACAGATTCTTTATACAACTGAGGTCTGGAAACTGAATAGGGCACTGCATGACCTCAATGTGCTTCTTTGGCAACTCTCTTATTGTCTTTGCAGTATGTGTTTGATCACTGTCAGAAAACGGCTGAGTTGATGCCATAGAGTTCAATTTTGGTTTCACGTTTTTTAACAAGCGTTCTCTGAATCATCTAGATCATAGGTGTCAAACTCTGGCCCGCGGGCCAAATTTGGCCCGCAGCCTAATTACATTTGGCCTGCGAAGCCACACCAAATTACTATCAGAGCTGGCCTACTGGTATTATACAGCTAATATGTATATTGTTTAGTATTAAGCTTTGCTTGTTCCATATTCAGTTTTTCAGCAAAACGTGTTTGAGTCCATAAGAAGAGATTCATTCTTATATCTGGAGGAATAAATATATTTCAATAAATATTAACGTTAGCCCGCGACTTTGTTCCAGTTTTGAATTTTGGCCCACTGTGTATTTGAGTTTGACACCCCTGATCTAGATGTTCACTGTTAAACTGTATATGTACCTTCTTGAGCAGGGGACCTTGCTGGCGTTGCAAGATTTCAATCCATTACAGCATGGTGTGTTACCAACAAGGTTCTTGGTCACTGTGTTCCCAGCTGCCTTAGATCACTAACAAGCTCCAAGCTTTGGACTGATCTACCACCTTTCTCATGATCATCCCCACCCCATGAGATACGATAATCATCCGTCCTCTATCTGGAAAGATGTCCATTTTAGATTTCTTCCATTTACAAATAAAATAGTTGGAGTTCTATATTGCTGCATTAAAATAAAACTGCAATAAAAATTAGATACTGTTCTTGTTTTTCTCCTCTGTTTTTTTGGTAAGGCAACAGCAAGGGCTCAACATCGAGTAACTGTTTCCCCCACTGTAAGAGCCTTTGAGGGAATCTATTCTGAGAACTCTTGGAAAAACGACCTTTATTTCATGCACATATCTGTTTTGTGAAATTCCCGAACAATTGCAAGACAAGATTAATGTAATTACAGGACTTTTGCAGTAATTAAGGAAGAATTTGAGCGTTCCTCTTAAAGAAGGTCCTCGGTATTTTTGCGATTTCTTCACTGAAGACCTCAGTAACTCTTCTTTTCAACCATTCTGTTGTTAATTTACTCATCAGACTTAAACTTCAGATCTCAGATCATCATGATTATGTTTTGGAGTTGATGAATTAAAATTTGTTCAAAAACCAAAAATGCTCAAATTTAGTCTCAGAACATTTTCCCTGACGTGAAGTGGAACTAGACACAGTGGTCTTTTGGAAACGCAGGCTTTTCAATTGCATACGGTCCCTTTATTGCAACAGTCTTGAATTTGATTTGAAGTGTTGTATAAAAAAGTACAAAAATTTGCAAATTCCTAGTTTATTCAGATCCTGTGTGTAAGCGTGACTTTGAACAATCACATTGCATTTTATAATGCAGGAAAACTTAATTTCAACCCACAAAATTAAGCTGCCATTAAAAACAATATTGTTATTAATATTGTAGCTTCAGTTTTCAGCTTTTTTGGAAGCATCCTTTTTTTTTTTTTGGCTGCCTCTTGTGTTTCACAAGAAGCTGACAGACAGATATATCTATCAGGCAGGTATGAAACTGGGATCTGATTGTAAAAGCTGTTTCATACCAGGCATTCTAGACCATGGAACCTCTCAAAGGAGGAAAATAATAGTAACAAACTTTAGAGAGAATTAAGCTTCTCAGGGATGATGCATTAAATTTCTCCCCTGCTGTTTGCCTGTTTGGTCTGAAAAGCTCTTGGCAGGCGTACCATATGGACACTGACAACATGGCTACATCATGCTGTCTTAAGAGGAGCAGACAGTACTGGGCTATAGCAGGAGAAAATGGGGGCTTTTGTTTGGCAGAGACAAACCGCCCGACAGACTCAGCAAACCAAACCCTCTCTCTCTTGCTTTCTCGCTCTGTGAAAAAATTTTTTTTTATTATCGTCCAATTAAATCTGGCTAAAGTAATCTATCTCACACCAACACCTTCCATCCATCTTCCTTTTCAAATAAAGAGACCTGCGTAGCATTAGTACTCTTTGAGTGGGATATCCTCTCTAAGCTCATCTTCAAGACACTTTGAGCCTCCTCACTGCCAGTGTAGTATAGAGCAGTGTAAAGGAGCACGAGATTTTACACATCTGTCCTTGTTTAAGTTTTTTTTTCTTTTTACAAAACAAAACAAAATGTTGATTCTTAGAAAACAGATTCTGCACCTTTTGAGACAAGACATGAGGTACAGAGGATCTTAATGTAGATGTGTTTTCTCACAGTATCGTCGTAAGACTAATCACACCTTAGTGCAAAAATGCTATATACTCGCTAAATAAATGTAGGGAAGACATTAATCATATGCCCGGGGATGTTCCTAAACTGTTCTGCCACCTATACAAAAGAAATTGAAAGATAACGAGACAAAAAAGACACAAGGGAATGGATGGGAAGACAGAGAGAAGAGGAAACAAAGAACTGTTCCCACCATCAGTAATTATTCAGTACAGTGGCTGAATGCTGCCATCCCCCACAATTATAATTAATTACACACAAGAGCGGGAGAGCCAGGACAGCGGTAAGAGAAGAGGAAGAATAAATGGATTGTGTTCACAGACTCAAGTGTGGAGGGCAAAGAGGGAAACACCGCATGTCCAGACTTCATCCTTTCTACACTGTACGTGATTTTGTGGTGTGAAAAAAAGACAAAAGATATCCTCATGAGTAAGTATTTCACTTACAGGCAAAAGACTCACAAGAACATAAATGATCAATCTGAAAGTAACATTTCCTGTTATTTGTCCCACATTTACACCACATCACTTTAACAGTGGATTTCAGGTACTTTTAAATAACCTTACATCTCCCACAATCCTGAGCAAATTTTACAAAACAATTTCCCCTTGTGAATGATTTGTTCTGATTAAACCAAGGCAAATGATTACATTGTGTCTTAATATACGACCAGCTAAGGATGTTGACAAGAGAGCACTTTTCGTTATATCAGCAGTCACAGTCCAACTACTCACAGCAGAACTGCAAGTATCATGCTAACTCTGCACTCACCCTCTTCTCATCTGTGACAATGTAGTGGCGGCCATACTTCTTGGTTAGATGAGGTGCCAGAACATCAAAGCGCCTTCGAAACTCAGAGAAAACCATGTGGTCAGGATAACCTAGAGGCAGAGAGGCAGAACAGAGAAGAGAGCACACAAACTCAGAACACCAAAGTTAAAGTAGCATCTGCAGCTGGTGGAAAGGCTAGCAGTTTATCAACAGCCAACAGACAGACAAAAGTATGAATGTCTATGGGACAGTCTTACATTGGGGTACTTTAACCCCTAACCCCAGATCAAATTAAACTGAAACGTGGTTCTGTCATCAGCATAGCAGTGACTGGAAAGAGTGTTGAAATTACATACATATAACACTGCAAAGTAGTTACCTTGCCTGTGGATGCGCAGAGCATCTAGCAGCTTGGATCCTCGGAGCTGAGCTCTCAGGAGGCTCACGTCCAGAGTCATAAGACCCGAGTCAGGGCTCTCTCCATGAGCCATACGGTAATCACCTCCTCCTACTGCCTCTACTTTGGGCAGTAGGCAATGGACGAAGTGAACCTTAGAACGCCGCACCATGTCAATCAGAGCATCCTAAAAATAAAGAGATTATATCAGATATCAGTTTCCAGTTCTAAGACTTCATGCAACAACAAGCTATGAAAATAGTAGAGAGTTAAGCGTCACTGCCTTAACAAGTATTACAAAAGCAACAGAAGGGGGGACTGTTGTCCTACTGGGAGAACTTCAATGTTCATGTAGACAGCGAGACCTAGAGGGGAATGATTGTGAGGAACGGCCTCCCGGATCTGAACCAGAGCCGTGTTTTGTTGTTGGACTTCTGTGCAAACCACAGTTTGTCCATAATGAACACCATGTTCAAACATAAGAGTGTCCATAAGTGCGCTTGGCATCAGTACACCCTAGGCCGGAGGTCGAGGATAGATTTAGTAATTGTTTCACCAGAGATGCGGCCACATGTTTTGGACAATTGGCTAAAAAGAGGGGCTGAGCTGTCAACTAATCACCAGGTGGTGAGTTGGGTCAGGTGGTGGGAACTGCATGACCTTAATGTGCATATATAGTGAGGGTGCACTGGGAACGCCTGGCAGAGGCCCCGGTCCGCAAGATCTTCAATGCACACCTATGGCAGAGGTGCCATAGGTGTGCAGCTCCATTGCCAAAGCCGCTGCACTGAGCTGCAGCCACAAGGTGGTTGGTGCCTGTTGTGTTTTCGTACCTTTTAACCACACTCTCATCCACTTACCACTTGGAGTTTCACTTGGATACACAGACTCTTCTTCTTGACAGCAGCCACACCTGTAGTGAAGGTTTTCCTCATACTAGTGGCTCGCCGCAGGGCAAGCTGGGAGCTGCCCTCCAGACCGGCGATGGAGCCCGACAACACGGTGGCTCCACTGGCCCGGCCCATGAACAGCGCGCTGATGTTCTTCCTGCAGTGGCAGAAAGATGATAGGGTTTGTACAAATCCACATCACTAGCATCCAAGAATTCACAAGACAATGTAAAGAAATCAATCTGATAGCATTAGTGCCATATTATGGGCTCCTTGCTGCACTCTTTGGTTCACTCTGTTGCCTCATGGTGTCAAACACTCACCTTATGACTGCTAAAGGTCTGAAACAGATTTTGAAAAGCTGCTAAGCTAGATATTGTCCCTGCAATTTTTGTCTTTTTAGAGCAAATTAATTGCTTTAGCTAGACTATACTTAAGTAGAGTGTGTATTCCCTTTTGCAAGACAGTAAGGCAAATGTTCCCAAGACTTTATAGACAAAGAGCCATTGATTTCATAACCTACAGTACAAAATATATTGACTTCATTCATGGTTGAACTGTGGATTGTAGCAGTAAGATCATACTGGAAACATTTGATTAAACTCTACATTCTTCCCCTTGTCAAGCATATTGTGTTTTTTTGAGTGACTGAAACCATAAAATTTACAGACAGACTGAAATGAGTGCATATGAACTAAAGACAAGAGAACACAGAGCCCCCAGAGGTGGAAAGGCAGGCCTAACATGACAGAAACTGAGATAAATCCAGGCAATGCAAGAATAAATTGGGCATTTCTTTCACAAGTTCACATGCAGTGTACTGTAATGTACATTTATATGTTCTCTATATCGGACAAATGTAATTCTATTAGTACAGGACATAGTTTTATTTTCTTTAATTCAAATCCACTACTAGCAACTCCATCAGGGCACGTGCAGCTTAAAAAACAACAGCGGTGATGACCAATCACTTCATACATTGTTCTATTAAACTGGATGATGTTCATGTATAGACAGAGGCATCATACTTCTGGGAGTCCTGCAGCAGGGTTGCAGCATTCTGGGCAGCAGGGTTGTGCTTGGCATGGTTCAACCAGCCTTGGGTGTTATACTCCACCCAATTGGTCCCATGGCTGTGGCCCAGCAGGAAGAGGTGGGGCTTCTCTCCTCGCAGAAGTAGATTAGCTCCTGCAACAGAATGGAAATATTCTGCCATGGTGTATCAGTGTTGTTTATTTGTTTCTTCAGAAAGCCTCGACTGATTGCGTTAAGGGACAAGCTACGTGTTTGAGTGTTCACCTTTGTTTTCTCCCTGTGCAGAGCCATAGTAGCTGAAGAGTCTCTCCAGCATGGTTTCCTCTGAACCTCCTGGCTGAACAGCTTCCTCCTCCATGAGCCACAGAAGGCCTCGAGCTTCATCTGTCCTGGCTAGAGTACGAACCTGTGATGAACAAAGGCAGGCGAAAATGTCTTTTTTATTTGGACAGATCAAGGAAAGACAATATAGAAATCGTTATCTGTCACTTTCATCAGAGGACAGTGACTGGGTACTAAGCAGCCAAATATCTGACAAGAGATGTTTGTGTTTTGCTTTCTTTTTTCAAAAACAAAATAAAGAAAGTAAAAACATTTTTTATTTTTGCTCTCAAGATTAAAGGTTGCCTTGGAGCTGTGGAGTTGACTGTCAGCACCATCATCTGATGTCACTATATAAACATGGAGGCCTTGGGTAGCATGGATTGGACCAATTTCTGTTACTCCTTCAAACCTTAGAGACAGTGAATTTCCACATGGCAAATCTCCACCTACATTAAGCTGCTGTTGCTCTAGACAAATTTGTCCTTAAGGTTTGTTCAGCATTTTTCATAAAGACTCAATCAAGGGCATTCTAATGTCCTCCCAAACCTTCAAAGCTGAACACTACAGCAACAATTATTTATTTACCATTGTTGACTGATTTAAACGAAAGTGCAAGGATTGGCCCTTTCATTTAATTTTCTACTTTTAAGAAGATTTCCTCCCATCTTTTAAAAATTGTCAGTCACACAAATCAGACTTGAGTGAGCTTTCCAACTGTGCACTGAAAATCATACAGCTCATATATTTAAGTTAGAAGCAAGCAAATAAAACGAATTCTGTACAAATGCAGAATAAGCCTTCCACAAGCATTTCTGAATGCTGTCATTCTACTTAGAAATCAATGTTCAATTAATGCTAGTAAATTAGCACCCAAAATCTAACAATATACAAAAGCTCGAGTGATTACTTGGATATAGGCTTTCATAACCTTAACAGCTGATTATAAAACTACTCCTCTTGTCAGTACAAAGTTTAAATCCTGCACTGTTTTGTTAAATTGTTGAATTTGTGGACTTAGCAGAGATGAGACTTTCTACATAAAAATATGAAACCTGTGCAGACAGGCCGCTTTTAATGAAAATACAAAGTTAGCTGACTCTTAAAGGCTTTCCAAATGAAAGAAGAGGCTTAGGATTGTGCTGCTGAAAACACATTATCTGCTAAAGTGTCATTCGAATCACTTACAGAGATTAAAAAGAGTTTGCTGTACAGAACAGAGATCACAAGCTAGATGCAAATGCACCACCTGTATTGTTTAATCAAAATTGAGTCACAGTGTGTTTCCATGTCTACTGTTCTTCTGGGTGTCATTAGTAATGCAGCTATTAACTAAAGCTAAAGGTATTGGACAGACTCATATTTGTGTAACACGATGCGGTGCTACCTCAAAAAGATCAACAACATTATTTTAATTCCTCTTCAGATAAATTGAAATAATTTGTTGGTCACTACTTGACATCACACACAAACACAAAATTATTATGATTCCACTCAAAAGGACAGTGGCAGTGTGGTGTAGTTCCATTGATGGCCTGGTGGAGCACAAGCTGTGTGGTTCAAGCTCACCGAAAGTCTTCTGTAGTTGCTTAAAATCCTTCAAGCTGGTTATGATTAGGAAAAAAGGTACCAGATTATGCACATATGCATCTCGCTGCATATGAGGGCTGTTAGCCACACAGTGGTGAGAATGCCTTTGCAGACCCATGACCATTGCCAAAACGCCTGCTATGGACATGTGGGAGCCTGAAATGTGCCACAGAGCAGTGGAAGATGGAACCAAAAAGGCACCAGAGGCAGAGGACCTTGGTGTTTATGTTGGTGTAATATCTGTACCACCTGATTGTTCAGGATTGGAAACAAGATAAAAGTTTGATCTACAGAGGCCTTGTGACGCTAACACCTTCAGTCTACAGATTCCTTGCCTTGAAAGACCAGGGCAGCTTGACAGAGTGATTTTGTTTGTGGTTGAGCACTGTATTATCTGAGGATGTGTGTACATAATGTGTAAGTCCATCATAAAGAGGATCAAGTGCAGAAACTTCTAAAATCTTTAGTGATTGTAGGTCAGAACATTCACTGTCAATCTAGTCCTAAGAGTTCATTTGAATTCAGTTGAACCGTTAGAAACTGACCTCAGATTCACACATGCCAGCAAAAAGGAATCCATTCTGTAGTCTTTGCTGCTAAAGCACCACACTCGCTTTGAAGCTGACACCTGTTTCCTCAATGTTCCAGGTACGGGTTGCCTGGGTAACCATCGAATTTATTTACTACCTAGTCATATGTCAAACAACAGGATCCTGCTCGCGCACTGATAACTGCGTCAACCACTTGCCTGGAGAAACGTATCTCGAGTGGTTATTTTGTTATTTTTCCTGTAGTCACAGAATGTCATTTACGTTGTGTGGCCTCTGGTTGCTGTGAACTGCTTCCAATATGGATGCAGCTTAAAGCATTTCAGCTAATATTTGGGGGATTTGATTGTCTCTAGGTGTCTTGAAAACTAGAACGATCAACAGTTTGGCATGAAAAACAACGTTGCTGATGGTATCAAATGTCAGTTATTATGGTTAACAGACATTTGCTACTCTTACATAATTACAGGTTTGTTGTTCTACTCTCACTTCAAATAAAAATACACACCATTATATAAATCATCTAATACATTCAACACAGTCCAACACAAAAGGAAGCTGGAATCTAGTACTTGTCTCCATCAAGACTGCAGGATCATCTACACAGACCAAATGCTGCAAATACTTGTACTGCTAACAACACAGACTTTTAGTAAAAAGGGAACCAACGAGTGCAGAGAAAAGGAGACTCTTACAAGCTTCAAAGAGAAAACACATCACAAATTTGATTCTAATCAATAGTGCTGATCTCAGACAAAATCCTAAAGGAAATGAAAGAAACAGCAAGAAAATATGGAACCAACCATCACAACAAGTTGACAAGCATTTAGGCTGAGCATGCTTTGAAAACTCTTTTATGTTACATCTAATTTCAGTCTCAAGAAGAGTAGGGGGAGTTTTCCTCTGGCTTCAGCACATATTGATGCCTGCTTTGCTAGATTGGCCATGGACCTAAAACTATTTGCATGTGCCAGCAGTGATGAAAAGAGCTATTTGCTGGCTCAGTGTACTCTGGGGTGCTCATTTGGCTACAGCTTCATTTGCATTAATGTCTCCCTGAATAATGACTGAAATTCAGGCCCAGATAAACTGCCCTTGAATCTGGACCTAAATACCTCAATGCTCCACTGAACATAAACACAACTTTAATCTGTGCTGTTAACACAGCATATTTCTCACAACTGATTCCAGGTGAAAGCAAAGCAGAGTGTAGTGAGGGTTGCTTACCAGAGCTTGGGTTGAGGCTTGATCAATAACTGCTACAGACAGTGAGGTGTTGGACTCTATGTCATCTAAAGCAAGTTCTATGTTTTCCTAGATGCAGGAGGGGACAGAAACTCAGGTTAGTAACCTACAAGACATGTACCAGCAGAAGATGAGCTCATAAAAAATAAAAAACAGAAAATCAAGTGCAGCTGTTCATCTCAATCTTGAAATCAGCAGTTACTAAAGCTATAGATTGGGTTGAGTACATAAAAAGTTTTGGAAATTTCTTAAACTGGACATTTGATTGTTGGGGGTTTTCTCTGCATTATTGTAGGGTCTTTGGTCTGTGCAAGCTTACCTGGAGGAAACCCACACAAGCACAGGGCGAGGCTGTAAACTACACATAGAAATGCTTTTACTGACACCACCAATTTCTCAACATTTGAGTTTTTGTGTATTTATTCAAGTTTTGAAGCTCAATTACTCGTAGAAACCACAGATCTTGATGTGAACCACTTGCATTGGAACTACAGTAGAAGTAGAAATTTTCTAAACCCCGAGTATCCTGTGGATTATCTGGAGTACTGAGGTCAAATTCTTTACTGCTGTGGAGCACCAATGAACTGATCTCCAGTGCATCTAAAATCCTAAAAATGTTAATTAGTTGAGAATTATCGGTACAGGCAGACGCCAGAAAAAATAGACATCTGTGTTTGACTACATGTTATTATTAAGTCGTCCTTAAAATCAGTGCATGAAATATGTATATGTTCTGTCCCTCCCAAGTGTTAAGCTCTGTTGTTCCAGCTGCACCTCCTTGTATCTCTCCAATTCCTTGACAAAGGTCCGTTCATGAAACAGAGTCTGTAGCCTCTCCTGGGTGTAGTTGTGACAGAGCTCTTCAAAAGTGGCTCCCCTCTGCTGATGAGCCAGCCGAGGGTTCTGGAAACCCGGAGTGTCAACGATCAGCAGAGAACACAGAGAGTGCTGACTAGACTTCAGGGCCCTGAGGGACACAGATACATCAGCAGGCTTTAGTGAAGAAGCTTTGACTAATCAAGCAGTCTGCAGCTTCCCAGTGTCAAAATTATATTTATATACCAAGTCATTCTTACAATATTTGAATGTAAATGTTTTAAATATTTTACAAAAAAAATCTAAAGTGCAGCGCTTATCTGGCAAGATGAATTCATGAATGATCTAGCTATTTTATATAAGTCCAAATTGAATATGAATACTGTAGTACTAGAATTTGAGGTAAATGCTGACAGCTAACCTGTTAATAAGGGAGATGACAAGTGTGAAAAGCTCAGAGTAAAGTCCTGATGCCATGGCCTCCAAACACTCCAGAGCTGTGACTTTAGGGCCTGAGAGACAGATGAGATGCACGTTTTATGTTTTTTTCATGAGACTCTGTTTTTAAACAGCAGCTGAAAACAAGCAAAATGTGGTCTGCATCTAAGAAAAAATGATCATATCAACAATGGGAACCCTTTTAGCAATAATTGAACATAAATGGAAATTCTAACGTTTGCAGTATTTTTACCTAAGCCATCACCATGGCTAGCCTCATCTGGTGGTCCTCTGAATGAGGTAGAATGCTGCAGTCCTTTGGCCTGATGCTTAAAAATAGATGAAGATAGCTCCTCCAAGGTGCAGCCCAACAGGTAGGCCGCTTTCTGAGCCCATTCATGACGAGCAAACTGCCGACGTCCCACTACAAGTAAAGCATGAATGAGTTCAAATTCTAAAACAAAGAGCTAGAAGAAGAAAGGCAACGAAGATAACATGTACAGTAAAAATGAAGAGCAAGTGTAAGTATACAATTACTGTAGATCAAAACTACTATTTCTACCGTCTGTTGCAAATTTAGGCAAGATTTCATTTCTGTGACACTCCAGTATCCAAATCCAGTACAACTATCAGCTCTGCTGAGGTTCAGTACAGCTGACAAGACCTCAGACTGTAACTGTTAAAATACAAATTCAATTTCAACAATGGTCCTGGCCTTCTACCTGGTAAACACTTCGCTTGGCACCTCTATTTAACCAAAAGAGATGTTCTCTGCCTTTGACAGGAGTTGTCCCAGATGTGAAAAAACAATGCTGAAAAGTGCAAAAACTGTCAGTTGAAATGAAACGACAACTGAGCTTGAGATTCTGCAGTAATGGAACATTTAGCGCTTCTCTAACAGAGTAACGCAGTCATATCAGCATCTATGATTTAGAGGAGTTCCCTAAAAGGAAATGAATGTTGACTTGATTCTTATACTTGAGTGGGATATCTCTTATATCAAGATTTAACTGCATAATGATAATTCATCTCCTGAAAGTGGCAGAGTGAATGAGAAATTTTCCAGACCCCAACTACTGCCATCAACAAAGGCAACTTTTGTGATGGACTCACTAGAAGGACTAAAAGGTATCTATTCTCTTAATGAAAGAAGTCATGAGGTGTACAGTACAGTCTAGTACTGATATAATATCACTTTACCCCATCCAAAACACGACAGCAGACTCCTGAAGAATGTATTATTATAATACCACAACTATACTGTATTATGTGCTGTCAACGGCATAGACAAAGAGAGAAAGGCAGCATTTCTTTGTGCAATGTGTAATGCTGAATTAATGCTGAACACTGGTGGCTCTAAAAGTCAACTGGTGAATATCTTGCAGTTGACGTAATGTAAATGATTTTTACTAAAATACTTAAAGTCAGTACAGAATAGTTTCATGTTGACACTTTGCAGCACATACACTGACAGTAAAAATTAGAGACACTTAAATATTTTAATGTCAATAAATGAAATCAATGTTTTAAAAATCTTTAAAATCTTTAAGTAGGATCCAGTTATGATCCCACCTTAAACACCAAGAGTCCTCTGCTGTGTGGGTTTTAGCACATCATGTTTGTGTTCTGTCCCCACGACTCCAAACATACATATGGAAATCTCTACTGTGAGAACTGAAAAGCTGTGTGAGGCTGGTGTGTTCTTAGATATGTGATGGAGATGACAGCTAATCATGTTTAATCCTAACTCTCAATCTGTTTTTGCACAATTATCTGCAAGAGGAGAGCATCTCCACTTGGTCGGAACCTCAATCAAAGCCAGTGTGTTAGAATAAACCAAAGAATCATGACAACACCAGCAACATACAGCCAATCAAAGCGACACAGAACCAGAGAACCCAACAGGGTCCAGGTTAATCTGGGAAATACAAGGTCTGTGGTAGAGAGCTAAAACACAAACAAGAGATTTGAAAATGTACAAGTTTTACTTTGTTTGTTTCAGAATTGTAGTAGTGTGACAGAAGTCGAATGAGGTGACAGGGGAGGTATCAGAGAGGGCGGTTTAAAGAAACAGTGAAGTTCTGATTTTCATCTTAGAGAAAAGGAAAAGGCGATGCAAGGAGATGGGAGAGCCGTAATGAAGAAAACACAAAAAACACAAGAGAGAAAGAGGAGGAGCAGAAACAATAAAAATGCTAATGGCTGAAGAGAATGATAAAGGCATACAGACAGAAAACAAACAGGAGAGGCTCTGACATAAGGTTTTTTAGGTTCAAAAAAAGGGTCAACAAGTTGTGTGTTGTTTTTTCCGTTACCTTCATCTCCATCTGTGTTTGATATGGCGCAGCATGCAAACATGCAAGTAAAAAGAGGGGGGGGGGGGTGTTAGAGATAATAGTTTAAGGATTCATCACATCATCACAGACACAGGAAAACATGAACATTAGCATTCAACAACACTGACAACACATCATTATGCTTTGGAACAGCTGGCTGAGAAATGTGACTGATAGCACCCCAAACCCCTGTTTCACACCAGTGGAGAGGAAATGATACTCAGGACTAAAAGAAAACGGTCCAAGCATAAAGAATGTCCTTCAAGTAAAGTCACTGTCAGTGCAGACTATTGACGTTAAAAATTATTCAAGTCACAAAAGACTTTCTATACTATGACTGATGTCACTTTGAAGTAAGTGTGCATTTCAGCAAAAACATGTAAAAAGATGACTTTTACTGTCCCCAGTTTTATGTTGGAGCATCCATCGCCACCTGACATTGAACCCATACGACCCAAAAAACAGAAGGAAACCCTTCACACAGCCACCACATTGAGATTGCTGCAATGAGGAGAAAAATCAATAAATACGTGCAAGTGTAATCACTTCCAGTTATGGAGACACAATTTTGCAAATAAATTAAAGTTGGCACTTAAATTGGTAGTGATTGTAAAGTAGTATCATCCAAATATAAAATAAAGGTATTCTGTTGCGCTCCATCTTATCTTCTGTGCAGGTATGCTTTCTTTTTCAGACGGCACAATTTTAAAGTTAAGGGACCTTCTACTTATATACAGTAAAACCTCAAATATATGACTAGTGATTAAACTAAAACTCAACTTCAAAAACTGTTTGGATGTCATACATAAAAACAGAACACAATGTAGGATTTGATCAACATACCTGGACTTCTAAAAGTTCTAGGGGAATTAACTGTGGACTGCTGAAACATTCTGGGAAAAGCCACATTAAACAGCATCTAATGGAAAAAATCTGCATTCCCTTTTGCCTCTGTAGTCAGCGTGCCTCTGACTGAGAGCAGTGCATTCATATGTCAAACATGACACCTAGTGGCTGGTGGTAGAAAGTAAATTTGACTTAAAAACAATTTTTCTCCCACTTCTGCCAGAAGAATTCACATTTGATGCCTTACAGTTGATTGTAATTTGAACAGAGACATGCTGACATTAAGTAATCAGGTCAGTGCAGTGCAGAGAAGCTGGGAAAATCAATAAATCAGTTGTTGGGAAACTTGCATATAATTATAAAACCAAATGCAGGATATGCACATCTTTATTTCAAGTCGTCCTTACAATCTAAAACAACTACAATTACATACGTAGGAGGATCATGTTAAAGGGACAAGTCAAATATGGCATATTGGTTTTAGACTGCCCATTTGGTACAAATTCATTTTAGACTTTTTGCCAGTTTGTTGTTAACATATTGTCATCCATGGCTTCTTTCTTCCATATACCTTTTCCCTATTAAGCAGGATGACATTGCAAGTTTCAGGTCTTACTTTATTTGGAGTGGATCAGTGCTCACTCTAGTGGCAGCAGGGTAAGCGGGATATTTCAACCAAATTTCTCCCAAGCAAAACTTTCCAGTTCACTTTACACAAGTTCTGGGTCTACCCTGCTGTCTCCTACCAGTTCGGTGTGCCCAACAAACCTTCAAAGGTTGGTGGCCAATAGGCTTACTAAGAAGATGCCCAAACTGCCTCAACTAGTGACTTTCGGCACAGACCAGTGGGCATAGCTAGAGTTCATCAGGACCTTTGACTGAGAGGCGAGGAAGACCATGATGTGATCCATGCAAACTTCCCACTTTCCAGTCTTTCTAAAGCGCTTGGAGTTCCAAAGGAAATTCCAAATGAAACCCAACTATGAGAAGTAAAACAAATGTAAAGGAAAATATGCATTTTATTCAGCAGTACGGACACGATGACACTTCAGTTTTTTGTTGTTGTTTGTTTGTTTGTTGTGCAAAACAGGCCGTAATTTTGTTGTGACCATGTAACTAATCATGGCGATGTAAGGAGTCGCGCGTAAAACGATGGATTTTGCGCATATCAGTTTCTTTTGAAAATGATTAAACACTGCATTTTAATAATCCAGACTAAAATGTGAAATAGAATGAAATTCTTTGTGGATTATCTAAGACAGAACAAAGCTCAAGCTGCTTGTGGAACATGCACACTTTCACACTTTCACTGCTGATTTAGTGTGGGATCCCCTTACCGAACTCTCTCCCGTGAAAATGGAGCAGTGAAAACGGTATTTAACACTTTATGTATTTACACACTTTTTTTATTGACACACAAACAAACACAGACGTTTCTACAGACCATTAACTTCTTTTGAAAAGTCGACTGTTTACTCTTACTGTAAATTTTATTCTTTATTCTGACTGAGAATAACGTTTTTGCGTATATAGGAAGATCAGCACAGACTGGCTTTTGTTTTCATTAAGGGTTTCGACAAAACCTAAAACCTCAGTCAGAGCTGGCCATGACAGAGATGGCTATCACATCGGTGGTTAACTTCTTCTGCATCTGCTTCTGCTCACATGAAAGAATGCATCATGTCATTCTTTTTCTGCAGAAATAATCCTTATGAATGGCAGCTACCAGGACAATCATAAATGTTGGGATTTACCTCAAAGAACAGTAAAAAGGTGTTTTTACACTTCCAGTTTATTGTTTTCTCGCTGAGTTTTGTCACAGATCTTTGTTAAATTTGTCTCACAGGAGATGATGACACCTCTCATATGCACGTGTCTTTCATGCTTGTAACGGGAGCCGCACAAGCCAGAACATTAATAAAGGGTTTAATTAAATAAATCTCATACAGGGCTACAGTTGTCTTACTTTACAGGAATAAATATGAAAGAATTCGGGCATCAACACAACCTCAGACGCCGTCTCTGTTCAGATTTATAATTGTTTTGCGTTACAAAACAGAAATGTGGGTGTTTTGTTATGATTCCACTGAACATGGTTATCATATATATACACAAAGAGAAACCGTCACCTATAGCTTACATCAGCACCATGGACATAGCCAGTGTTGGGAAGGTTACTTTTAAAGTGTATTCCACTACAGATGACAGATTACATGCCCCAAAACGTATTTTGTAACGTATTCCGTTACATTACTCAATGAGAGTAACGTATTCTGAATACTTTGGATTATTTAATATATTATCATCCTTTTTACAGCTACATGAATGTACTATAGCTGTGTGATTTATTACTATTACTGAAGGTTACTCATCATACCAATACCAGCTACATTTTTAAATCTTAATATAAATGAGTAACAGTAGGTGGACATTAGGTAAGGCTGCACTTTTTGCAGTGATCTCGTATAGAAAACTATTCCGCGCATATATAAAGCAGGTCCACGGCTCCGAACCGTAGTAAAGCGACCTCTGGCTGATACGTCGGGTTCGTGTCGGGCTCATAGCTGAAAAATAGCTTTACTTTGTTGCCTGGGTCAACTTTGCTAGCGAGAGACAGAGAGCGGCGTTGAAAGGCTGCTCCAACGGAGCTTATTGTTTCAGAGGAAAACATGAACACAGTGTACTTACAGCTGGGCTACACTGCCCATGAGGCTACATTCTTTAGGGCTATGCCTGTATTGCCTTCATATTAAATAATTTTTTGAACAATAATTTATTTAAATATTTCGTCACGTCATTTTGCGGGACGCAATTAGAGGTGACATGGGCTTGAGACCCAGGCATTTGAGCCTCTTAATGCGTGTTTTGTTTGGGTTTCCACCAGCGTGGAATTACCAAAAATAGAGAGGGGACAGCCTAACATATGGAACAGGAAAGACCGCCGAGTAATCCCTTTACTTCAACAAAGTAACTGTATTCTGAATACCACCTTTTTAAACGGTAATTGTAACAGAATACAGTTACTCATATTTTGTATTTTAAATACGTAACGGCGGTACATGTATTCCATTACTCCCCAACACTGCCAGTGGCTCTACTACAATCTTTCTCCAGATGTCTGAGCTCCTAACTTTAAGTCTAAGATACAGACGAGCCTCCCTACAGAGGAAATTCCTTTTAGCTGCTTGTATTCACAACCTTATTTTACTGGTCAGTACCCAGACGTTATGAGGGTGGTCAGATCTTTGACCATGACAATCTGGTCCATGTGTTTGTGTGTGTGTGTGCATGGCTGGGTCTGGGGCTTGCTGGGGCTTGGCCCCTTTGAGATATGGTCTTGGAGGAAAGAGGTTCACCCTCCCTAGTGCTCCTTGCTGGATGCTGCTGCCCCTCCCTGGGCATACTTGTTGGTTCCAGGGCGTGTGGTTCGCTGTTCTGACATGGTTGTTGACCCACTCCCTTGGTGGTCTGGGATGGCTTACACGTCTTCCGTGTTGGGGGGGTCTCTGCCGGCCAGTTCTTGGGCACCTGGAGCCCATTTTCCCCTACCCTCATTTTCAAGTTCATTTTGTGACAAAGACACTCTCTCTCACACTCACACACTGCACAACCCCTACAAGAAGAATATATCTGTGCATTTTTTTATTTTTTGGGTTCTAGTTGCTGTATGGTTGTTTTTCTGACGGGTGTGGCAGTTGGTGATACACTGTAGATTTCTATTTGTACGCTATCCTTTTATTACATCTTCTCCTATTCCCCTATAATCACACCATCTCCCTAGTCAAGATCTGATGTACTTAAAATCAACGAGGAAGGGCGTTCCTACCTTTAGTCGCGCCCGCTGCCCCCAAGTGGTAAATGGCACCGAGGATAAGCCAGAGGGCTTTCTGCTCTTCACTGGAGATGCCCAGCACCTTCATGGCTGCCTGCAGCTTGGTGAACTGCTGCAAGGATCGCTGCTTGTCTTCAGGCTGAAGCAGATCAAATCAAACTTTACTGAACTCTGCAGGGAGTCTGGAATTTTGCAATAAACAGTTGCTTTCATCCACACATTTTATTAACATCTACCATCTACTGCGATTACCTTAGTCTGTGGCAGGATCCCAAAAGCACTGTTCTCAGCCAGGTGGTTAAAGTGCAGCTCCGTCCTGGAGGAGAGGAAAGACACTAGAAACATAAGCTCCTCAGTGCCAGACAAATGTGTAAGCTTGATGTGAGTAGTTGTATTTTTGTTATATCAGAAGAATATCCATATTATGTGACAATGATTTTCTTTTAAGACAGCTTTCTAATTTAATTGCTGACTTTGCAAAGATATTTAGTGTAAAACCCCAATTCTAAAAAAGTTGAGAAGATTTGTTAAATGTAATTAAAAACAGAACGCAATGACGCAAATCACAGGATCAATGTTCACTACAGTTCCTTCCAAGTACTACATTTGATAGATACTGACGACTGTCAACCAGGAACACCTCACAAGAACTGCAGTCGTCTAGTGACAACAATTTACTCAAATCCTTAAGCTTGCCCATTTTTAGACTTCGAGCACAGAATGTCCACTTGCTACCTAAAAAAGTAACGAAATCAGCGTTTGGTCGATTCTTTTCTTTGTTGTAACAAAGAAAAAAAGCTATAAATATTACACCACTGGAAAGTCTGTTTATTTCCCCTTAAGCATTGCCACATTTGTAAGAAAAATGCATTTGTGCATCGAGTATATGGGTTACCCCCATGAAAAACCTGCCAAATCTTCTCTACCAATGCTGCTGCCTGATTGGCACCTGATTACCATAAAATGTTAAATTGCTAATATGTTTTGTTTCTTCAGACACTGTATCTAGGTTTTGGTCCCAGTGGGAGGCCCTAACACGCTGCAAAGCATTAGAAAGTTTAATCAACAGCATGCATTGTTTGTGTTTTGACTAAAAATTTCAAGGAAATACATCACATCCTCTTGTATTTTGGTTATTGTGGGTGGACCACAAGGGATTTTCTGGGTTTTAAGTGGGCCACAGGATTGTTGACTTTGGGAATGGGTGGCCTATAGAATTAAGAGCCTGTACATTCATGCTGTAAGGTATATACAGGTTTTAAAGTAACATATGCTCCCATGATACAATGACTGAAAAAATCAGTGATACTGATTGTTGACAATTTCATTTCAATGCAACTGCGCTGCCATACAGCAGTGAAACAGTGAATATTATGCCACTGTCCAGAAATTTCCAGACATGCCTATCCATAGCAAACAGAGAATAGGTGACGAAAACTTGACAAGAAAACAAACATCAAGAAATAATATGACAAATTTTTATTTTTATTTATTTATTTATTTATTTTTATTTTTTTTACTATTTAATTTGTAAAAATGTGTATACACACACACAGACACACACACACACACACACACACACACACAGGAAAATATTTAGTATACACATCCAGAAATGCATACACTATTATATATTGTACATATATTTATTAGTTTCAGGTTGGCCATTCTTGTATTTTGCTCGTTTGTGTTGTTGTGTTTGCACATCTCTGTTGCTGTGGGGCTCGCACACAAGAATTTCACTCGCATGTGCTGTGCCAGTGTGCCTGCACATGTGATGTGACAATAAAAGTGATTTGATTTGATTTGATTTGACAAAGACTGTGAAAAACCTATTGTAACGCTACAATTCTTCCAAATCAAATCATTTTTTTATTTTTAAAAAACAAAAGAAAATCTCTACGTTACTAAACAGTACAAAAAAGGGCTCAACGAGTCACCTGAGACTGCTGTCGGCTCCAGCCATCATGTAGTAAAAAACGTTGAAGGTGGAGTCCCCCTCAGGTCGTCTGCTCACCCTCAGTTTCTCCAACAACATTGTCTAAGAAGTAAAGAGAGTTTTGTAAAAAGGGTACAGTACAAGCTAATCAGCTGTGTGCGCGCACTTGTGTTTGTTACCTGGATGGAGGCAGAGGCCACCTGCCCAGCTTGGTCGAAGTCCAAGGAAACAACATGAGAGAAGTGGCTGGCATTTGTGTTTATGGTGGTAGAGCTGTTCCCAAAGGCCTCCAGTATGGTGTAGACTGCCTGCCACTTCTCAGCTGTGTCACCAAAACGATAAGATGTCCCATCATTTGATGATTCATTGCAAACTAGCAATCAATGTTTCACAAAGAACCCATAATTCTGACATTTCAGTGTATAACTGTTATACGTGTTATATATGTCCTCAAACCAGGCCCTGACTCAAACCGCAGCCTGTCTGTCTTACATATCCTTGTTGGTGTAAAAACCTCTGGCTCACACTGTCAGTAACAGGATTTGAGCCTACTTGTGTTTAGTTAATTATTTCTATTTAGTAATTGAAGAAAAAGCACTTAAAAATTATCTGATTTTATCATCTGTAATACTTCATTTCAAAAGTTGCAGAGAATAAGGATTATGCAAAACAAAAGACTGAAACCAGTACAGCTGTGATGTTCCAGCTTGGACAGTGTAAGCTATCCTGTGCTCAAATTCAAACCTGAGCATTTATTCTTAAAAAACAAAATCATCATGTGATAAGTTCTCTTTTTTAAGTTTAACTGAAAAAAGAGAACTTATCAGATGATGATTTTGTTTATTAATTATTATGAATTATTATTTAATTCTTTCTAACTAGGTTGAGAATCCTGAGAAACCATGTAAAATTCCAATATAAGATATTTGAGGTTTGTAGTCCACCTACCCCTGTCTTTTGTGGACAAACTCACCAGAGAAGATTTTTCCTGTGCTGCCAGCAATGCAGACCAGGTACTGGACAAGATGCTGACAGTTGGTGGTTTTGCCGCTACCAGACCTGCCCAGCAGCACAATGGACTGATCCTGTCGGGTGGTGAGCAGGTTGCGGTAGGCCGACTGGGCCACAGAGTAAATGTGAGGAGCTGAATCCTCACGCCGGCAGCCTTTAAACATGTTCATCACCTTATGAGCAGGAACAGAACATGAGCTTAAAACATGTACAAGCACAAAAATAAAGAGAGACTAATGAAGAGTTAGCTGTAGCATAAAGCATCTCCAAACCCTCGAAGTGATCATTACACTGCTACACTAAACTAAACAGCTACACTTTCTTTCACAAACAACCGGCATTAATGCACTATATATAAATGCAATCCATTAATTTGGCTGGCCTTGCTCATTAGTCTTGAGCTTACCTTCTCCGAGTACATGGAGGGCATGCTGAGAGGGTTGATGACCACCATGTTGGGTCCAGCATAGGTATGGATGAGGTTCCCTCCATAGCGTTGCCTCAGGCAGTGCATTACACTGGATTCATTCAAATAGAGTAGTGAAGCTAGGTCTTCTGATCTGTCGTATGATGGAGGGTTGGCCTACACATAGAGAGAGCAATCATAAAATGACAGAAGAGCTGTACTCATTCATTGATTAATCACTTCCCATCCTATTTTATTACACAGTCATTTTAAAATCAAATTTACCAAATGTGATAGTTTCGTATTCTAATAAACTATTTAGTCAGTTACATCTGGTCTCAAGCACCTGCCGTAAGTTGCTCATGAAATGTCTAAATAATCAGTATGAACTGGCAGATGTTCGATTTCCTTCCTTTCTCAAAGTATACTTATAAAAATAATGCAGAAATAAATAAATAACTGTCTTTTTTTCTTCAGGGCACTGATGTTTAGATCCTTGCTCTCAGAATTACGGTAATAACAAAGCTACTGTGCTCCACTGAAATTATTTGTATAGATTTTAGAAGTACTATAAGTGCTGTGAGCAAGAAAGTAACTTTAAACAGCCAGTAGTGTGCGTCTGCCAAACTTCCCAACAGTCCTATCTGACCTTACCTACACCTATTCCAGCATTCCCGTGAGCTGGTAGTATCCTCTGTGGCCGTCTGTGACAAACTGATTCTCTGCCTCTGAGTCTCTCGTACACACTGAGTGGACCTCCTTCATCATGTGCATGGGCTGCTAATGATAGCTAGCTTCAAGCTAGCTTTTTTGCTTTATTGGACTTAAAAAAAACTTTATGCTATATAAATAATAATTTATATAACAATGTTTTACTTGGAATATGAATCGTTTATTAAATTCAGTTCAATTTCATTTATACAGCGCTAAGTCACAACAACAAACGTGCTTGAATGTCCGAATTTAATGTGTCAGCAACAAAAAAAATGTTTTAGCCATCAGTTGACCACAGGCTTACATAATTAATATGCACATTGTTGTTCTGTGATACAGTGTGATTCGATATGAAAGTTTTGTACTGTGGATCCTTCAATGCGATCATAACAATCTAATCTAATAATCTACAAGTGACAAACTTAGACCTTTATATGCATTGCAGTAAATGTATATCTGAAAGTGCTATAATTAAGTTTAACTACAATACAAATCCTGCACTGTTATCTTCTTTAGTGCCATAAGCCAAGGCAAAGTAGCCCCCTGAACTCTACTCCCACAGAGGTCAATTATCTTCCTAATAGTTTTACATCTTCACTGCGTACGATTCTTGAGATTGTAGCTCCTCTGACAAAGAAAGCCTCAAATCAGAAGTAATTGACTCCCTGGTAAAAGTCTAAAAGGAAAAGGTGTCCTACTAATTTAAAAAACATAGTTTGTTGTTCTTTTTGAAAGAAAAAAGCCCTCTATAAAGCTAGAACATCAGTCCTCTTCATACATTAAGGTTAATTATGAAGTTCCACAGAATTCTGTGCTACGACCATTTCTCTTTACATTATACTTGCCTCCCTGGGGTAGGCATTTTTGACCAGGATGTGTCCTTCAATGCACATGAAAACAGAACAAAACATGGAGGACTGATTTCTTCCATTTGTACAATATCTCTAAAATTAGAAACAACCTGTCTCAGAGAGATACTGAAAACCTAGTTCATCGTCCTCCCCTCACCCCAACCAGGAGATGGTCGCCCCTCCCTGAGCCTGGTTCCACCCTATAAAAGGGAGTTTTTCCTTCCCACTGTTGCAAAAGCGCTTGATCATAGAGGCTCATCTGATTGTTGGGGTTTTCTCTGTATTATTGTAGCGTCTTTACCTTAACATATAAAGCACCTTGAGGCAAATGTTGTGATTTGGCACTATATAAATAAAGCTGGATTGAATTAAATTGAATTGAATTGAATTTAGATGAACAGGGTCGGAAGTCACCTACTCACCTTTTCAATGTCGTCTTCATCCACATCCAGTACAGTCCCGTCATGCTCCATTTTGATTCTTACCTTGCCCTCTGGCAGAGAGCCAGTTTCTGTCTTTATCACGGTGGCTGGCCAGAGATAAGACAGTAAACACTTTAGTTTTTGCCTGACTGAAGTGCTCAACTCTACTGATCTCTATAGCTTAAGTGGATAATTAAAGAGAATAACAAAAGGAAAAATGCATGACTTTGCCATCTAAAACTCTAAAGAGCAGCAGTGTGGATTTCTTTATTTCCATTTTAAAGACTTTATCATCCAATAAAATTATTTTTTATAGCTAATTAACACATTTAATCCCAATGAAAAACACTTCACAGCTAGGAGGTTCTAAAAATTTAATTTCAAATATGCAAATATGTGCAGTGTTAAGTGTTAAGCTGTAGAATGCATATGCTGAGCTGCTGCAAACAGATGGGGATAAGAACAACACACTTTTCTCAGTGCAAACTGAAAATCATTGCTCAGTGAAGCCAACAAAACCACATCATCACAACTACTCCACAGGCACTTTCTATGACTTCAACATAATGTTGCAAAAGCAGGCTGACAGCCCCAAAACATCTACAGCAGGGGTGTCGAACTCATTTTACATCGTGGAGTAGAGCAGGGCGATATGGCCAAAAATATTTATCACGATATATATTTGAAAATTTGCGATAACGATATAACCGACGATATAATTGATGCGAGACAAAATACAACTCCACAACATTACTAGCGCAAAAAGACAACCTTCCATTTATTTTCACTTAAACAAGAAGCTG